GTCCAATAAAAAGGAAAAAGGGGTTTCTGCTCGGCATCGTAAAAGTAATTTCGGCCGGCGACGAGGTCAATGATCACCTTCACAAACCCCGACTTGAACCCCTTGAAAGACGACGTGAAGGGTGTCAGCAACGGTCGGTCGGCGTTCCGAATCAAAGAAAGCCACTTGACAGTCTTATTAGAAGGACAAGTACAGAAAAAATGGAAAAATAAACCTACGGACGACTCTATGTAGTGGTATTTACAAAGCACCCGGAACGCTTGCATATAAGCCCATGCGTTCGGGTGCAACTGCGTCGGGGCCACATTCAACACACGAAGGACCCCCATCTGAAAATCGTCGAAGGGGAGCGACATCCCGAGCTCTCGGAAGAAACACTCGTACATGTAGAAAAAATCTCCGGTTCCTTCCCGCTTCGCAAGAAAAACCAGATCAAGCTCCCCAGGGCCTTCGGCCCGGCATCGACGCAGCAGAATAGGATAAGGATCCCAACCTTCCCATCGGCCTAACGTGCAAAGACCGAGAAGACGTATCACGGCAGCCCTCTCATGAAAACGAGAAAAGTACGCCGCCACCTCACCATCGACCCAATCATACCCGGGGATTTCACACCGAGGGTACTTCTGCCTATAATCCCCGGGGCTCATCTCGGCGTCAGGCAAATCCGACCCGGATGAAGAACTCCCAGACTCCCCACTACGCTCAGGGCCCAACTCAGCATGACCCCTTATCATTTCCACCTCGGCGTTGAAGGCTAACATCTCGGCCTCGCCATCTTGTGCCGACATCCTATCACTAGCCGACGATCCTGACGACAATGTCACACCTTCGGTGGCCATTATCAACAAAAAAATCTAAAAACACAAAAAACGAACCTTTAGGGGTACTCGGTTCACACGAAATGATATTCAGGCAGTATAACTACAAAGAAGGCATGAGGAATGGAGTCCCATCCCCACACCTTATATAGACCACACAAAGCAACCCAAGAGGCTTGTAATAAATGCGCCTGAACGCGAAGAGACATAACCCTAGGGCGCGAAACCCAAAGGCGGCCATGGCATGCAACAGTCACTATCCACACGACACACCTCCCGAAGAACACGTCTCCCTAAAAACAAAACCCTAAAATAACCCCGAACCATTTCAACACATCAAACCCCTTCGTCTTCCATCCTGGGGCTTGGGGGGGTAGTGTACTAGGAGGCACCCCTTCGATCACGCAATAGGCCAAAAGGGGTGCCCGAGCCGACGAAAACACACCAATCGGCACCCTTTCAGTCAGGCAATAGGCCGAAAGGGGTGCCCGAGCCGACAAAAACACACCACCCCTTCGGTTGGAGGATGGGCCGAACACACCCTCTCGGCCAAAGGGGGTACCCAGGACTCCCTTACCACTAGAACACCCATCAAAACCTCTCGGTATTAAGCTGGGCCGAACACCTCCTCGGCCTTGACCTAGGCCGAACACCTCCTCGGCATTGACCTAAGCCGAACACCTCTTCGGCCTTGGAGGAGGCCAAACACCCTTTCGGCCTCATGCCTAGTCGAGGACTTCAACAAAGCAGATCACAAGCAACACTGCCATCAAGGACGAGTCAAACACCTCCTCGGCCTTGACCTAAGCCGAACACCTCCTCGGCATTGACCTAGGCCGAACACCTTTTCGGCCTTGGGGAAGGCCGAACACCCTTTCGGCCTTACGCCTGGCCGAGGACTTCAACAAAGAGCAGATCACAAACAACACGTGGCAAGTTAGATACTTATTATGCGCTAATTACCATGCCAGATTAAGAGGAGATTAAGGCTAACTCAAGTGTTACCCATCTCCCAAGACTGAAGGCCCACCAGGCCCAATTGTGTCACTATAAATACATAGGTGATGTGAAATAAAAAGGTACGTTATTATCCAATATAAAAGCACTTATTGCTCTATACCGAATACTCACTTGATCGTTGGAGTGCCTTTGCAGGTACCCTCCCTACCTCTCGGGGACAGTATTCGGTCGACACGAAGACTCAGAAGACCAAGAAGGAAGAACGACAAGAGGAGTGTTTCTACGCAGGAACACGTTTCATTTTCTAAATCTTTATTATTGTGGTTATTGAATAACGATTTTTGAAGTTTCTCATATGAACCCTTTTACCGAAATTTAAAACATTTATTTGTAAAGTTACAATATGTGTTGGGTAGTAAGGGTGTCACACAAGAGGTTGGTGACCAACCTTACTATCTAACAATTATCCAATGCCCTTGGACAAAACTACTCACTCTCTCCTTTACATTGGTAATTGCTAAACGAAGGACATTAAATTCTAGGATGTTCTCTGCCAACTCTGAGAATCGTGAGAAAAACTAACGTAATTTCTATATTTTAAAAACTTTAACTCTCCTATAACTCAAGCAACAGTTACACAAAATAATTTGTTATTTATATAAAAATAAAATACATTGTAAAATCCGTCCACTCATAATTTAAGATAATATATATATATATATATATATATATATATATAATTTAATAAAAGAAA